CTCCCCCGGCTGTTAGTGTTCTCCTTCTCCCCCCTCCGCTGGTGGAATGTCCCCCGGTGTCCTCGCATCTCATGCAGGTGTATGGAATCTGCATAAGACGTGATGTCGACAGTCCTCAGACCACCAGAGCAGAGGGAGGAAGAGGCTGCTGGGGCCAGTCTAGTAGTTCGGAAGGAGAGGGGATCGGGTAAGTAAATCAACTTCAATCCCTAGACATAAAGAGCACTTAACCTTTGCAGTACAAGAGGGTCGCCCCAATGCAAGAACAGTTTTTTGGTTGCCCCTGAAATGGCCTTTCAGTCACTTCATCATAATGGAAATTACAATTTTTGGGCCATTTTTGTTCAGAATGTTTTAGTTTTGTTACGATATTCTTCCAGACCCTCAACGTTTCTATCTGTGTGCCCGCGGTCTATTAGGGCCATACAAACGCCCCTGTACATGAATATACTATATTTTATTTTTCCCTTTAAACACTTCATATATATTCTGAACGTGAGAAATAACGCACAAAACTTCTATAGAAAACCACTTTACAGCCACTTTAATTTTCATCAATAAGTGTCAGATTTAGACTAAACATTCGCTCTCGGAGATTCTCCGTCCACGCGCTTCAGAAGGGGGGTGAGCGGCATTCATTCCCTAATGTGTCTGAAGTGCTGCGTTCAGTGTGATGGTACGTGAGTACTGAGAGAGGGATTGCTGTGCGCTTTAGCATGCCAAAAATAACAAGTCCTGTAGGATTCCGGCTGCTTCCAGACGCTCCTTCCCATGCTAAAGTTGCAAAATGATGTCTGGGATGAGCGCCGCTAGGCAAACGGGAGCTAGATGTGATTCAGCGTTCAGTCCTGGGAACACTATCAAGGCCCGATTCAAGTCACAGAAATAGATATTCAGATATTCCTTGTGCTCATAGTCTCCACTCCAAGTCTTTATTATAGCTGCTGTGCGGGGTGTCTCCATGTGACTGTGCCGTCCAATCAGCCTCAGAGTCTAACCACACTGCCCAGTGCACTGTGTAATCCAACAGACCTGATCAGACACGCCCCCTCTGGTCAGACACGCCCCCACTCTCTGGTCAGGTACCCCCCTCTGGTCTGTGTAAGGATGCTTGAGAATAGGGGTGTGGCCAGGTCCATTGCCAAGTTAAAATCTCAACACGAGTCCGTAGGGAGCCAAAAAAAGGTGTAACCCGGCTTTAAGCTGTTACCACAAATGGGATCTTAATCTCCTTACCAACACCAGATTTAAAGCGGAACTCCAGCCAAATCTAATCTCAAGTTTTTGTTTTGTCTAGGGAGCTAAAATAGGTTATATTCACCCGAAACGAGATCCCGGCTTGCTCTTAGGCCGTTCCTTCCAGCCTCCCTCCCCCTCTGCTTCAGCAGTCCTAAGGTCCGGGGAGTCATCACATTCTATATGATGTATAGAATTTGAGGATGCCGAGGGACATACCATGGACATACGCTGGAGGGAGCGGTGTAGGAGCCAGGTGGGATCCGGCCGGGAACTATTATTGAAGTATGGAGTCTGCCCTTGCTGACCTCTCTGAAACATGCTAGGTGCCTGGCTGTATACTGACCCTCTTGTCTTCAGGAGCCCTGACTTCACTGGATGCACACTTGTCCAGATCTGGGACTTTGCTTGTACTGAAGCCAGAGGCCTGACATGACAGCGAGAAACGTAGTGATATCGGGTCAGCAATGGAAGCCGACGTGCCTTAACGGGGCCGGATTTCCCACAAGGCCAACCAAGACCCGGCCTTGGGGCAGCAGGGGTGTGCAATTCCTATCTCCTGATGCCTGGAACATGCAGTTTGGGGCGGGTAGTTGTTTTCTACATTTAGCCCTGCTTTGGGCAAGCAGAGCTAAATGTACAGCGGGGAAGCCGCCGCTTGTTTTGTACAAGTGATCTCAGTGATGTCGCTGAGATCACTTGTATGCAGCCTGCCGATCTGCCATTCTCCATTTGGGGGGGGTGGGGGAGGGGTGCATTGAGGAATCTGGCCTTGGGGCAGCAGAGAGTGAATCCGGCACTGCCTCTAAAAACAGGTTTCCTTTAACTCCGTGTTAGCAGTACACTGATATCAATCAAGACTCTGGTCTACGATGGGGTTAAATCTTGACTTGTAGTTGAGTCCTCAGGACAGCGAAATAGCAGCTAGAAGAGTTTTTAGCTCCTCAAGCTGCTATTGGCTACCAATTTTATGGTCCAATATACAATGCTGCTGACTATATTTTTAGATTAGAACTCGGGCTAGGTAAGGGCAGGTTCACACCATTTTCCGGACCAGATCTGGTCCGAAAAATGGTGCGAACCTGCCCGCAGTTCCAGTGTATTCCATACCAGACAAAATGAGACAACATTTTCTGTTCTGGAACGGACTGCACTGGTGTGAACAGAGGCCAGAAAAAAAAAATAGGGATACATTTTGGGTCTGGAAACGGTCTGGTCTGGAGAACTGGATGTGGTATGAATGGGCCCTTAGTCTTTTGGTTGTTGGGAAATGGTTTGAGCCTCTCAGGTGCATGCAACCTCATCCCATGGATGGATGGCGTATATGGGACTGGTGGTCCTCCACATGGAGATTTCTGTATGAGCCTAAACAGTTTTATTATACAATCTATATATACTGTGTGTGTCTGGCATCAGGCAGCATGGTTCTGTTCTGGAATAGAGGTCGGCGATGACTATGCTGTTGTGTCCGGAGTCAGGAACTGTGGAATGGACGGGGGCGAGGTGTTAGTGTTTCAGTGCTGATGCCATAGTAAGATGTGGGCAGAGACATAACATCTCAGGAATTTCTGAAGACCTCATTGAGGAGGAGTTGACTTTTGTAACAATGTGTCCATTGTATGTTCCTCTTATGTCTTCCCTCAATAATGGAATCTGTCATCTGCAGGAGCCAAATTATCCGAATCCCATTTCCTCAACCAGCAACTCCAGATTGGGAAGGGAACAAAGCTCTTTAAAGAGACTTGGATGTTTTTTGGTTCTAGATATAAATATAAATGTGATCATTCTGATACTCTTATCAGTGTGGAAATGTTTTCAAGGGTCAGTCCACCTAAATCTGATTATCAATGTTTGGTAGATCCCGGAGAATTACATCACCCGACTGTCTCCTCTCGGGACTCTATTGGTGAGATCCCCGAGTCTGTACACCCGCTGTGCCCATTATGAGGGGCCCCCACCATCCCTGTGCTGAGTTCCCGGGTCTGTACACCCGCTGTGCCCATTATGAGGGGCTCCCACCATCCCTGTGCTGAGTTCCCGGGTCTGTACACCCGCTGTGCCCATTATGAGGGGCTCCCACCATCCCTGTGCCGAGTTCCCGGGTCTGTACACCCGCTGTACCCATCCTCTTGTCAATGCCTTTATCTCTCTTTCTATCTAGAAGGACTGCACCATCTTTGTTCAGGTATCATCCAGGGCCACCATCTACTTCCTGGCTCAGAGATGATGCAATGGTGCTTTTGTATATCTTGCCTGTGTTCACAAATGTCTGAAATCAATCAGCCTCTCGCCTTGTTACTTGCTACAAAGTAACAATGTTGCAGACTGATCACTAGGGAAGGGTGAGACTGCGGAAATGCTTCCTCCTGCCTGCAGCAGACTGATCACTGGTGGGAGACTGCGGAAATGCCTCCTTCTGCCTGCACCAGACCAATAACCTCCTCAGCCTGGGCAAAGTTTTGAAATGGTAAAAGTTTTTTAGACTTCTGAGAAATGATACTGTTGCTGTATATTGTGATGTGTCATTTTAGACTTGGAAGGGGCTCTTTATACAATGTTGCTCCAAGGTAACCCGGTTGAACAGCTTTAATCTAATGCTGGTCTTCTCTTCTTGGCAGTGGAACGCTTGGCAGGACTCTTCTCTCTGCCACAGGAAGATGGAAAGGAAGCGAAGCGGCAGTCGCGTCTTCTGGTGTCGATGGCAAGATCCGAAGCGGAAACTCTGGTGAAAGATTATGTGAGTTCAGTTTTTGATCGGTGAATATGTTGGAACTTCTTGCGCAGCCTCGCAGAGGAACGCAAGCACACAGTCTGATATGCATGCTGCACATGGCTTGGAAACGGGGAGGAAGCTGCAGCTTTATTCTCTAACCTATTACAATGCAACAGTATATCTACCATAGATATATAACAGAACTTATAAACACACTGCCATCTAGTGACTAAAATTGTATACTGCAGGAGTTATTGCTATAAGCGCAGTAATGTGTATTCTAACAGAATAAGCTTTGTAAAGTCCATATTTCCCCCCACCTCGGGTTATGTAACATCCTGACATTAAAAACGCCCCCAAATTCCACCTTTTTTATATCAAATATCTCCCATTTTGAATGTCTTACTATTGTTTACACAAATGTATAATTAAGAACTATTCGCCCTTTTTTATAATATCATTTTGTACATTTTTTTTTTTCTGGGTATTTTGGGGAAAAACACCTTTTATTGGTCTTTTAAGTCTCGGTCTAGAGGAGGAACGAGCAGCTCTGCGAGTCAATCAGTACATTGCAGGCTGTAAAAAAAAATCGTTGACCTCCTCATTGGGCAGCTGCCTCTTTAAAGTCCAATTGCAAAGGGGGCGGGTCTTAGACCACGGTGAATTACTTGTCTATGGGTTGTGGTAACGCAACATGCGTGTGTTGCATTTTGAATAGCACCCAACCCATTAAAGCGAGGCATCTGCTTTGCAGCGCACTACAAATGGGGTAGGTGAATGTTCTGGTCCCGTGTGGGGCATTGGTGGCGCATTCAAATGCAACTTCCTTTTAACAGGTCAAGCTCTTCCACAGGGGTTGGGAAAACCACATAACACCACCAGGGGGACTTGGAATAGTCGGCTTCTATTTGAATGGCTTAAACTCCCCCCAACACTTCTTTCTGTAACTGGTTCAATTGGGTTTTTGTCTCTTGCTTGAAACGGCATGTCCAGCTAAGACTACCTTGTTTACACAATGACAAAACTGCTGGACAATTTCACTGCAGAACGGGAGTGTAGTCACCCGATTTAAAAGGAAGTGGGAAAACAAGAGCTTCTAGTGTCCACTGAAACTCTGGCATTCCTCCATTGACTGAAATGAGTTGCAGCTTGGCACCAGAAACCTCATAGAAAATAGAATCTTCTATATGCCACTTACCTATGATGCTCGTTTATCTAAGATACTTGCGAATCCTGCGTTGACAACATCTCCCCGTCACTCTTCCGCAGCACATTCTGTCCCGTGCCACCTAGTTTTATTTCCCGTAACAGCAGATGGCTGTCTCTTCCTCGTTTTCACAGCTGGCCCTCCTTGATGTACACTTGATCTTGTGTAGACATGACGCAGGTCTTGAATGGCATGCAGGAATCGACTTCAACTGAAACGCAGCCTCCTTGGATGTGTGGCATGTATATTCCAGGTGGCTGCAGGCAGCTGATTATACGTAACCTTACCTAGAGGAAGATGTGGGGGGGCGGGAGGAGGCTACACTTTTATTAAAGGGGGGGGATTACAGAAATCCGCTTTTGTGTAAGAAGTAAGGGTAGGAAGATGACTGGAAGTTAGTTTTGTGCTGGAAGGTCCACTTTAATCTCCCACATGACCATGTCCAAGCATCTCAATAAATCACACAGATAATGAACGCTGCATTGTGGGATATGGGTTGGGTGCGTTTTAATGTTCTGTCAGAAAGTTGCCATTGCATAGGAAATTTGGGGTCCTAAAAACTACTGGGGCATTAAAACGTCTTGATTTGCCTCCACAGAGAAGGCATGTGTCTTCTTTTGCCCTTCAGCCTTGGTCAAGGACATAAGTTCCATTGTGACAGATTTGGATCTGATCTAAGCTTCGTGCTGGCTATTTTTAGACTGTTCATTTGACATCCTCTTTAACGTTGAAGCATTTCCCCATGGTGGAGAATATTTTTGGCCTGGCATAGTAACTCTCTCATACTTTTTTCTCTCTCCTACAGCTCAGCCAGCAAGGTTCTCCATTCTCGGACAACGCCAAGCCTCCAACATTGATTATAGATGATCTACCCGTCCTGGATAAGACGGCACTCCCTTCATCTCCATGGAAACGTCTGGCCATTAGCCTGTCTGCCTTCCTTTCTTTCAGAGGTTGGTTGGCTTCTGTCCTCGCCTGGCAGAGGTCGCTTAATCCTAAATCGCGGGATCTTCTCAACAGTTTGGATCTCTCCAGGAATAATTCCCTGGCGATAAGCTCAGCCCTTGGAGCTCTCCTTGGGCAAACCGACCACCCCAGTCCATCTTCACCAACTATTTCCAATGTTTTCAAGCAAAAAGTTGCAGGCTACATGATTTGCAAACATTATTGCGACTGGCTCGCACAAACTGAGAAGGACTTGGTAGTTCTTGTAGCAGAGAGCTCTGTGTAGACCTCATGTGGAAATCTTCTGATGCAACTTTTGTCCTATGCAACTTCTAGTTTTAGACCTGCCTACCTCATTGAGGATAATACTTCTAGATCAATGCTTCCATGTCAAGCTGTCTCAACGCAGCGAAGGATGTCTTCTAACACTCGCCTCAAATCTTATCTCCAACTACTAAATTTTGGTCTGTGAAAATTGACCGCTTATGGGAAACGGTTGCTTGTCTCGCATTTCTTGTTGTGTTTGTAAGACTGGACGCATGAGCTCAATCGGGGCAAGGCCCTTGACTTCTCTGACATATTTGGGATTTGAGCGTCTGAAGTCGTCTTAACACCTTTTCTGAAGAACCACCTGACTTTGGCAGAGCATAAAACAAAGAGAACCGGCCGGGAAGGTCTGTGAAGAAATCCATTTCTTCAGAAATTTGTATCATGAGAACGTAGGTTCCTCAGGGTTGTTGTGAAGATGCACCTAAAATATTTTTTCTAGTTAAATCCGAGTCCCACCTTCTCCAAAACGTAATCTCACTGGAATCTATTTTTATTAAAAACACTTCTTTTCCGCATACCCAATTTGCTGAGATTACTGCGGCTCAGGAGGGGTGATTACCTGAGGATTGAGGTATTACTGGTATTTTTAAAACACAAATGTACAGCTTTGGGTTACAAACGGGTAAGGCGGCGGCCAAGCCCTCACTTGCAATGGCACAAAGGATTTGACGGTTTTACGAATGACTGACAGAGTCTCAGATCACAAGCTTGGACGTATACAAAGGACGGGCAATTTTAATATTACTGTCAGAAAACCCTTCAGCCGTTCTTTCAACACTGTATTGTGCTCTGCACTTTGTGTGAAGTAATTTAATGTTAAAGTGACATTAAACCCTCAGATTTTTTAACATAAAACAATAGTGTAATGTGCGCCTTACTGTAATCCATGGTTGTTTCCCTTCTCTTTGCTGCTCTTCCTTTTAAATCTGTATCTGTTCTCATGCTCTGCAGAACTTCAGTTTTGCAGCAGACTGCCTTGTCTGAGGAATAGATACATGGTGTGTGTGTGTATACGTTTCTATGGGCTTGTAACCTGAGCCAGCACTACAGGAAGAGGCCCTGAGCTGATAAGGGAAGTTCTCCCCCAGCATGAGAAGACATGAGGATTTAAAAGGAAGAGCAGCAAAGAGAAGGGAAACAACCATGGATTACAGTAAGGCGCACATTACACTATTGTTTTATGTTAAAAAATCTGAGGGTTTAATGTCACTTTAAGTATTAGGAATTGGCAATCCTCCTAGTCTGTATTTGTACCATAGCTTTACCTGAAACATTTTTATAATGTACTTTTTTTTTTTTATATAAAAGGTTTGGTAAAAAAAAAAGTGTTTTTGTGGATTTTCTTTTCGGGTTTGTAAAGTGGTTCTGTGGTCTGGTAACAAAGGCTTTAAAATAACATGGTTATCAACTGGTTATACTACTATATACTCCTATATGGAGGTGCCTTGGCGCGGCTGTCACATCTTCTGCAGAAGACGTGTATCGAAACCTCTGTTTTTAAACTTAGTGGTGACAAGTTTTTTGTTTGTTTTTTTTTTTTTTTGCATGCTGGCTTGTGAGTGTCCTGGGAAACTTTTTGCTATGATCCAAAAGGGGGTGGCAACCTCGTGTTCTGTGGGTCGTCGCGCGCCTTCCACTTTTCTAGGTGAGATGCTCCTCTGCCTCCTCCCTAGCGCAGCACTGTCCGTTCCCTCACCAAACAGCCATTCAAAATCTACTGCCCGGCGCCAAGTGTCGGCTTGAGATGGGCTGGCGCTATGGCCACGAGGGAGCTCCATCCATATGTGCATTGCTTACAGCTCCCTCGCATGCCTTGTAGAGGTGCCTGGACCGGAGTGACATCACATTCTGGCTCCCAGCACTTCTACAGGGCGCGCAAGGGAGCTGTACAAGTGCACATATGGATGGAGCTCCGTCACAGCAACCCATACTGGTCCCCAGGCTGAGAATCCACTCCAGTTCTTGTAAGGTAGGGAGACTGGGTGAATTAATGCACTGAACCACGCAATCACACCTACCATGCATTCTTGTGCGAGAGGTGTTGCATTGCCATTGCCCCAAACTCACCTCCCACCCACAGTTTGCCAGCACTGGAATGGAACAAGGCTAAGACGAGGAGTAAACCATCCATGGACATACAGTGGAGCACAATTTCCTTGGTGCTTCAGTCTGGACTGGTCAAAAGAAGAAGAATGGGAAGGAAAGGAGGTGTTTGGGAGGTGATTTGAGTGTTGGAAAAGCAAAGACAAATGTGGGGGTGGGGGGGGAAATGAACTAGCCCAAGTGCAGGGCCAGCTGGAGCATGACAGCTGTGAAGTTGCTACATGGAGATTTGATGGTTTCGGTTCTATGAAGGACCGGACCAGAACAATTAAAGGTAGATTGGAGCTCTGCTTTTAAAGCCTCGTTTCATAATTTTGGATAGTATGGGGGAAGGCTTGAGCCCCTGTCAAGTGTGTGTGTGTGTGTGTGTGTGTGTACCATTTTTGAGATTTCTTTTCACTCAGTCGGGACAGGAAGTGATGGGAAATCTCCCCAATACGGGCACATACACACTTGTGTATTAGTGATGTGTTTTTGTATTAGTGATGCACGGATACCAAGTACCGTAATCTGTACAAGTACAGATACTTTGAGCTACTGGACTAGAGAAAAATCTAAAAAGTTAGGAGGCAGCTGTCATGTGTAAAGCTGGCCGCACACACCTTACAATTACCTGCAGATTTTCTGTGATCAGATGGAAAAAGGTGCAACAGATTCCTCCATCTACACTTAACTGTGTGGATGGAGTAATCTCCACCTGGGCCAATCTGTTGCCCTTTTTCCATCTGACCACAGACAATCTGCAGATAAATTGTAAGGTGTGTGGGCAGCTTTACACATGACAGCTGCCTCCTAACTTTTAGATTTTTCTCTAGTCCAGTAGCTCAAAGTATCTGTACAGAGTACGGTACTTGGTATCCGTGCATCACTAATACACACTTGTATAGGCATCACAGGAACATGAAGTAATAATCTCCCCAATGGAGTCAGGTTCTTCGCGCTATCCAAGCGAGGAGGTGGGACCGGAGTTGGGCTGTAATCGGCACATTTTTGGTCTAACTCAAAAGCCAGAGCCTACCAGGAAACCAACCTTTCCAGAACACCGTCAGCAATGGCAGCCATTCTATCGCTCTTGTTGTATGTTTCCTTTTAAGCCTTGTACATGCATGCTTACTGTTCATTCCATCCTGACAACATTTGCAAAAAAGAGGTTGAATAGTTCTGGGTCCACCATGATGGAACTAGTTTAAGCTGGTATATCTGTAACAAATAAGTCAAGGCAAAAACATAATTGCCTTGACTTATTTGTTAGATATACCATGACCTGGATGAATGAGAACCTTCACATAGTATAAGCTGAGGGGCGGTCAGCGTCTCTCTGACCCTTCATACACATGTATCTTGCCTCGTGACAGATCCCCTTTTAACTCCCTGAACGTTTTTTTATAGAAATGCGTCTGTGAATATTAGTTGCAGCTTCATATAAACAACCTGCTGACGTTTGATTATACCGTTCCAGCAAAGATTTCTTCTTCTCTCCGAGCGGCTGGTTTTAAGTATCAGGAATCTGAGCGGCTCCTCTGAGAAAAAGCAGACGAGGGTCCGGAAGAATTTTATAAGATAATAAACTGTATACAGACGGCTGCCTCAGACTCCTTTTCATAAATTCCTGCCTTCCCTCCAGGAGGCCTTGACAACATCTGCACCGGGTTACCCATTCTGTGGCAATATTTCCTGAGAAGAATCCTTTATCTTGGAACTGGATCATTGTGTCTGACTGGGAGCAATGTATAATAGTTACTCTCCACCAAAATAGCTGCGTCTACGTTTTATCAAATGACCGCCATGATTACCCAATCCCATATCTTCTATAAACTTGTTTCCTGATTCATAAGGGAAGATTCTCTGAGCCATATTGAGCATTCTTATCAATAAGCGCTCAAAATAATGACAAAGGAGAACTATGGGGGGGTCAGGGCTTTTCCCCATAGTTCTTCTAAGGGTCACGGGTAGACTCAAACTATCGTCCTTCCGTCACCCAAAGCTCAGTATACCGCGAGCTACAGCGTGCGGTATACTGAGACCACCGCAGCCGGGACGGATCCCGACATTACTGTCTAGATCCACCCAGCTGCGTGATTGACAGCTGGCTCTGCCTATCTAGTAACCGCCCCCTCCCCCAGTCCATTCCGCCAGTCAGCACTGGAGGAGCGGAGAGGGGGGGAATCCCTGCAGGGAGCTGTGAGTGACAGTCACGGCTCTCTGCAGGGACAGGATTGAGAAGTGAGCAAGCGATGGTATGAGTTCGCTCACCTACTGATCTATTGAGCCGACCTGTGACAGTTTCATTGTCACACGTCGGCTCCAACTATGAGGATGAGCGAAAATCACTCGCCTCATAGTTCTCCTTTAACGCACCCTATACTATACAGCTAGAAGTCTGTGGGCACCTGACCATGACAATTATATGAGCTTGCTAGACATCCCATTTCAAAACTAACAGGGTTAGTCACTAAAGGGTGAAGAGTTTGGAGAAGTGAACAATCTAGTCCAAAATAGCTGATTTGGAAAAATTCCCCCAATGCAGCTCACTTTCCAGCTCAGCTATTTGGCCTAGATTGTTCACTTCTCCAAACTCTTCACCCTTTAGTGACTAACCCTGTAAATGAAGATATAAAGACATGGTTTGAGCAGTTTTTGTGGAGGAACTCTTAGCTAGACATGTGCGATTCGTTTCGTTCCGAATTTAAATTCGGACGAATTTTCGGACATTCGGATGTATCCGAATTCCGAATTCCAGATATAACGAATGCGAATTTCCGTTTCCGAAATTCGTTAGCGGTAGTTCGTTCGACCGTTCATTTCGTTTTCATTTCTTATTCTTTTCGTTCGTTAGTTGCAGCAAAGTGCCTTTAGAGAAGGAGAAAAAAAAAATTTCCCCTCAAATCTCACTTTGTTGCAAACGAATGAACGAAACGAAAACGAAACGAATGTGCGAACGAACTAACTACTGCTAACGAATTTCGTTCGAATCCGAATTCCG